GGGGTACGGGGTCTTTTGCTTAAGCCACTGACCTGGTAAGGGCAAAGACCCTGACTTAAGTTAGCTAATAAACTGTCCTATTGCATTTGCATTGGCGTGGGTTGGCGTCTTCTTCTCTTCCGAAATTCTCCTTTACAGCCTGGGTACAACAGCACACCTTAGTCACCAATGTAAAACCTTTGCTTTTTGAGACTTTAAGGAGGTCTTTTGAAGCAGATCTTCCCAATGCAATATATTGTTTGATTTCTTGACTGTTGCTTCCATAGAATAAAATCATATTTTCACCATTTCTTGTGATGGTGTTTATTGGTCCAAATTAAAGATACCAGTTGATAAATTCAATAATGTCAAATTCCAAGCAGGATAACTTTTTTTAAAGATCCACACCTAAACACTTCAGATTGAAGCTTATGAAAAATAGAAAGTTTTAAAAGAACCCACAGAGAAAAGAAGGATTATATATGAGTGTCATACTGATTGCTCACTCCTCAAGAGCAGTGATGAAAGCTACATAATAGTGAAACAGCATGTGCAATGTGTAAAAGAAAATAAATGCAATCCTCAAACTCTACATGTAGTGAAAATATCTTTCAAGGGTGAAAGTGAAAGAAAGGCCTTTTCAGAAAAAGAAAATGGCTCACCTGATATAGAGAAAAGGTATGTCTACAATTGCTGTTTCTACTCAATGGTGAGCAGAGATTCTAGCCAGTGCAATGAGACAAGGAATAAAAAGCATAAGGAGAGGACATTTCCATAAGTAAGTCTAACTTCTGACTCTCCTTCACATGTACACCAAGAAATACAACAGGAAAATTGTATTTGGCCCCAAGGGACTCTGAATTAGCAGAGGATAGGAGTGGGGAAATCAGACAGACACTAGTCAATGAGTCAACAAACATGGCACTATGAACCAAACACAGTAGGAACATGGCTTCTCCCACTGTCCCGCTCCTCCCCACCAAGACATGCAGGCTACTGGAAACTATAGAACCAGCCCCAGCAAATGATTTTACTCTCCCAGCCAACATACTCCTTACCTGTACAAAGGGAAAGGATCCAAGCTTCACTTCTGAAATCAACAAGGCAGACCTCCCTGGGGGTCTGTTAGGAGTGTGCCTGCCCCTCCAATTCCTAGTATGGCAGACTGTCAGCTGCTTCAACCTTCTACAGTTACAGAAGCCCCCCTGTAGTGAAACCTGATCCTGTCTATGCACAAGGAAAGCCCCCTAGATAAAGCTCTGAAATCAATAAGACAGATGTCCATTGGTGTCCATTTGGGCCTGACTACCCCATTCTCTTTAGAGAGGACTGAGGACTATTAACTGTGGCTGCTGTGAACTATGAAAGTGGTCTCCTTAAATGGAGCCCATTTTCCCAGCACACACACTCAGTTTGTGAAAGGGAAAGGCTCTGAACTCAGGTGGGGAAATCAGTGACAATATTTGGCTCTGAAATCAACAAGACAGATCTCCCTGGGGTCCATTTTTGTGAATGGCTCCCCCTCCTCTTCCTGACTCAGGAAAATCTGCCTGTGTTTCTCCTTATTGAGAGATCACATATAAGTGAGACCAAACATAGCAAGACAGGAAGCCATAGGCAATAATGGAGGACAGAACGCAGCCCTGCAGGGGGTTCATTTGGTGTGGGCTTTCAGATAGAAAACATCATCTGAAAATAAAGCAAGTAAGAGAGCAGTAACCAAAGAAAGAAGACTATACCCCCTTATAGGCAGATTGATTAGAGTGAGTTCTTCCTCCTGTTTGGCTGTGCTGTGCCCTCTGGTCTACAGAGTGATTAATGTGTATCCTCTATTGTGTTTGGGACACAATGAGAATTGGAAACCACAACCTGGAATCTCCAAATCCTAATTAAAACATAGAAGGAAAGGCAGCTTTCCTAGAGAGGGAGAGGACATGGTAAGAAATATCTGAAAGTTCTGTCCACATAAAAGTTTATAACAGAAAGTACTGCTGTTAAAAACACTGAATACTGAGGAGAACTGAGAAAGTTGTCATCTTGTAAATTTCTAATATCCTAACTGCAACAATCACAAAATCACAAGATACACACAGAAAATGGAAACAATGGCTTATCCAAATGAACAAGACAAAAGGAATGGAATCACAACAATGGAAGCCCAAATAATGAAAATACTGAAATAATATGATACAACAATAGTAAACATATTCAATAGCTAAAGGAAAACACTGACAAAGAAATAAAGAAAACAATACATGAACAACAAGAGGAATTAAAAATAGAGATAGACACTCTAAAAAGAAACCAAGCGGAAATACTGGAACTGAAAGAGACAATAATTGAAATGAGAAAACAGAATGGGATGAATCAACAGATTTGGTCAAGCAGACGAAAGAATCACTGAAGTAGAAGATAAAGTGCTTGAAATTAGGGAGGCTGAAGACAAGGAAGGAGGGTCAAAAGTGCTGAAGACATTTTAAAAGAATTATGGGAAAACATAACACAAAATAATATAAGCATCACAGGAATCCCAATTACTAGACTACTATATGCATGTCACACTCCAATCCTATATTCCTGAATCTCAAAATAAGGAGGAAAAATTATACCATTCAAGCTCCATCACTGACCTTTTCTCCACTCTTCTCAGTCAGAAGATGGTTTTATACCAACACTCTGTCCCCCAAGGGAATGTGTAAGTTGTATGGATAGTGATATTTAGGGGACAACCTATTTATCCCTTCCTCCCCACTCATCTCTTTCATCATGTATTCCTTCTCCCTCTATATATTTAGCTTCTCCCAAGGTTACTTACCCCATCTGTCTTAGGCTGGGTTCTCTAGAGAAGCAAAACCAGTGATGTTTATATAGATATATAAATAGAGGGAGCAAGAGACAGAGAGAGGGAGAGAGTGATTTATCACAAGAAAATGGCTCACATGGTTGTAAAGTCTGGAAAGTCCCAAGTCCATGGGTCAGATGTCAGGATGGAGGCTTCTCCTGACTCATGTAGCTGCAGAGACTGATGAGCTCAATATCATAGGTCAGATGAAAAGTTACAGGCCCATAGGCTGCAGAGGCTGACAAAGCCAAGACCAGCAGGTAAGATGGCAGGCTACTAGCTCAAGTCCAAGGAACCAGAAGTCAGATGATGATGAGCCAGATGCAGGATCCAGATTGAGCAAAAAAACAGAGAGGTTTGCCAGAACATCCATATATATTGGAGGTAAGCCACATCCCTGAGGAAACTCCCTTTCAACTGATTAGCTGTTCAGAGCAGATTTCATCATGGAAATGACTACATTATATCAGATGTCATCATAGGGAATGACTACATCATAACTGCTAAACCAGTGAGAGTCATGGCCCACCCAAGTTGACACACAACCTTAACCATTTGTAGTGCAGTGAATTGCTTGGTATGGTCTTTAAAGCCATGGTCTTTGTAACTCCCACCAAATGACTAGGTAAGACTATACAAATGTGAAGTGCTGTGGTCCACCAAGGAGACTGGATAGCTTGTTAATAAAGTAAACACTTTTGTGTGGGTGGGACCATGGAAATAAGGTATATGGAAACCTAATGTGGGGATTGGTCAGTTTTGTCATCCTGCTACGCTTAAAATTAGACATCCTAAAGGCTGAAAAGAAGTTCTCACCACCACAAACAAAGAAAAGTCAGGAGTGGAATTTGTCCTTCGGACCCAAAGCTCCAGCACTGAACCTCCTCGATCTAGGATATGGAGAGCTCTGATGTCATAGATGGTGAGAGATGGTGAGAAGAAGCAGAAGAGAAATGGTGGCAGCAGAATCAAGAGACTGGCATGAGACAGACTGGTGGGCTTCCCAGCCCATGGAACAAGAAAGCTGAGTGCCTTCAGCAAGGAGGGTTGGTGGCAGAGTGGAGTCCTCTCTGGGCCCCTATCAGCAAATCTAAAAGTGTCAAGTAACACTTGCCAGAGCAGTGCAGAAGCCAGGCCAAGGGGCCAAGGGCCAGACAGGAGCACAACTGCCTTTGGGCACAACTGAGAGGAGACTGTCCTGATCAAAAAACTGTATCTTGAGCTCTTTCTGATTCTGAATTGTAACTTGTTATTTCTCTAATCAACTCCACAATCATAAATGTTGTCTGTGAGTTCTGAGAGGCCATTGCAATGAATTAGTGAAACCAGCAGAGAAGTAGAGAGTGCCATGGGAGGGATGATTGGTGTCACAATTGATAAAAAATAATTGGAAGGTGGTGGCATGTCTGACCTCTAACTCATTGGAATCAGCCTTGGGCTGCTGATGTTGATCTTGAGCCTCCTCTCCCCTTGTGAAGTTAGAGGAGGTTAGACATCACTCCCATGGCATTTTTACACCATCATACCAACCCAAGTAGGAAGTGCAGCCAATGACTGGCTGATGCAAGGATACAAAGACCTGGCTACCTTGCTTTGACTTGGAACAACACTGAAGGGCCATCTTGCTCTTGAGCTCTCAGCAAGAAGGGTCAAGGCCCCAATTACAACTAAATTCCAGGTCACCTTCTCCTTTTGCCTTCCTAACACTCTTACAACACCTTGTCTGGCACATTACATTCACTGTTGAGAGCACTTAACTCCAACAATTTCAAAGAACAGAAAAGATACTCTCATCTTAGATTCTCATGGTAAGGATTTTTATAGCCTTACCATCACTCCTCAGAAACTTATTTCTCACTCCAGAATCCACTGATTGGGTCAGCAGTATTGATATTAATGCCTACCATGATTCCAATCTATGCTCTCTAGCCACCAGCCTCTTACCTACACCCAAAGTTATAATGCTTCTTGCATCTTTGACAGTAATAGCATCTTACCTTTAGGATATTATTGGTGATGCTAAAGCCTTCAATGAACATATCTCCAGAAGTAGCAATCTTTTCTCCAGTCAACATCTGGAAGGTAGTGGTTTTTCCTGCTCCATTGTATCCAAGCAGTCCAAAGCACTCACCTTTTTGTATTGTAAGGGAGATGTTTTTCACAGCCAGAATAGCTGGACAGTTAAAATATATCTAAAAATCCAGAAAACATAATGTAATGAAGACTATGAATCAGTACCTAGGGAAATTTCAGAATTCTTATATTATGTTGAGAGAATGCACATAGATCCCAAAGAAACATAGTGATCTCTTGAAACCAATGATACGCTCTTAACTAAGGATAAAGCCAGCATAATTGTGGCCACTGAGTGATGTTACCCTTGTGAGTTCCTTACTACTGAGCAATGTTACCTTTATGAGTTCCTTAATAAGTACTGTAGCCATCAAGAGGTCATCAGACTGGTCCAGAATTCTCTTCCTTTCTTGTTCTACATCTTCATCTTCCGATCTCCCAGATAATTCCTTGGAAACTAGCTCCTGTGTTTCAAGGTAAGAATCATAGAAGTGGATGCTCTTTAGAAATCTGGTGATTTTAGGGAAGCTAAATGAGCTCTGGTAGTATAGTGGCTAAGACACTTGCCTGCTAACCAGACGGCTGGCGGTTCAAACCCACCAGCCACTCCTCGGAAGGAAGGTTGGGCAATCCTACTTCCGTAATGACACTGCCTCGGAAGCCCAAGGAGGGGTCGCTATGAGTCGGGACTGACTCGATGGCACATAACAACAACAACAACAAATGTGCGATAATCTCGAGGATATCAAAACAAACCGTTTTAGCCATGAGACTAATTACTAAGTTTTAGAGACTTCCTGCATTATCATCTCAACTCCCATATATAAATGTGAGTAAATTTTGAAAAATGAATAGTTTATCAGAAAAATAAGGGTGAGAAGCAGAGGAGAGGGAAAGAACATCCCACACCAAAGGCAGAGTGTGACTTAAGATGTGTACTTTAAATCTTTGAAAAACAGAATTTAAAGCATTCAGAGAAATGGTTTTCATGACCTGGATTTTAAGATGAAGTCATCTCAAGAGGGAGTGCAGTGTAGTAAATTATATAGTTTGGCTTTTCTAGCCAACTCTTTGTAAACTTCACGGTGGAATTTGCCATGAGCAGCTGAGTAGCTCCTGATTATTACTTATCCACCTAGGGTATTTCTGTTGAGAGTAGCATGAACCAATCTTCTAGGAAGTTCTCTCTTCTCAGGTGTATAGAATTCTGATGTTGGGATTGGTTAGTTTGGCCACTCTGCCAGGCTCAAAAGGAGGCCTCCTAGAGGCAGAAGGAGTCTCTCTGACTTCTGGCTGAGAAAGATGTGCTGTTGAGAGAAGCATGCTCCTGAGAGAAACATGCTCCTGAGAGACACATGCTGCTGAGAGATGCAAGAGACATGCATTGCTGAGAGAGAGATGTGAGAGACATGCACTGCTGAGAGAGATGCAAGAGACACACACTGCTGAGAGAGACCTCGAGAGATATACACTGCTGAGAGAGAGAGAGAGAGAGAGAGAGAGACCAAGAGACAAGCACTGCCGGGAGAGAGACTGAGAGAGACTGTAGACTGAGAGACGTCAGGATGAGAGAGACTGAGCATGTTCCTGAACTTGAATTGTAGCCTGTTGCTTCCCTAATATACCCCACAATCTGTGAATTGTGTGTGGCCACTGCAGTGAATTATTGAACCCAGCAAAGAAGTGGTGGGTGCAGGGGGAGGAACAGATGGTGAAAGGGATGGAGGGAGGCAGAATGTCTGGCCTCTCAGGAATAGGCCTTGGGCTACTCATGGTAATTCTGTATTCCTCTTGTGGGGTTAGAGGAGGTCAGAAGATATGGCCTCCTTGCCCCCTTGCAGGGAGGGAAGATTTCAAACATACAATCCTGAGTTTGTACTCATAAATGACTTTTTTTTAAATGAGATGCACATTATTTTATTCATTTATTTTTTGTGCTTTAGCTACAAATTTACAGAGCAGAATTTGTTTTATATTCAACAGTTCATGTACATTTGGGTTCACTCCCCAATTACCATCCCCAACCCTAACCCACTCTCCTCCTCTCCCTTCCCAGTAAACCCCCCCCATTCCTGTGCCCTTTTAAGTTATACACTCCTGTCTGTCCAGCTATTCCTCCATATGAATTTTGCCCTTCTGGTGCCCCATGGCTGATTTGTCCAAGGTCCATAGAGTAGGTGGGTGCATGGCCCTGGATTGGGTGTTTTGCATGTAAGTTTTTTTACTGTTGGGCTTAGAGCTAGACCTTGGGAGTGAGCCTTATCCCAGGCCCAAAGTATATCCCAGGCCAAAGTATATCTTGCGGGTCCCACCAGACTCCATTTGACCAGTAATTCTGGTCATTATATTGTTTTTGAATTTGACAACATTAAAAATGGAATTCTAACGATATTCACATAATCCAAAGAAAAAGGAAGGAAAAGGGAAGCAGAGGAAAAATGAAAGATGGGTCAAATAAAATTGGTAGATGGAAATCCAACCCTGTCATTAGTACACCACACTTTCCAATTGAAAAGTCAGTGATTGGGAATTCTGGGAAGATAGTGGTGTGAGCAAGTCTAGGTTCTGACCTTCCCGCAAGTCTAGCAAGAAATCTGTGTTTGGCACTGAAAGATTCTGAATCACTGGATAAAAATCAGCTACAAGGAACTTCAGATGGACACAAATCAATGATGAGTCTCATATGGTAGGAATACCACTTCTCCCACTGTCCCATCCCTATCCCTCTCAGACTTGCAGAGTGTTGGCTGTTGTAGACTACAGAAGTGGTACTTGCAGTGGAGTCTGCTGCCTTAGCCAGCACACTTCTTGCCTGTTCCACAGCTCTAGTGCTAACACACACACACACACACACACACACACACATGTAGTTCATTCAGATGGACTCTCCCAGAGGTGAGAACTGTTGACTGATGTGGGTTACCAAACATACTGCCTGCCTGTACAAAGAAGGCCTCCAGCTCTGGCTTTATAATCAACAAGATAGAACCACTGAGGGTTTGTTGGGATGTGCCTACCCACCCCTGCTCCTGGCATTGCAGAAAGCCTGCTTTAAGCCCAGTGGACCCATCCATGGTTTGGCTCACCTGAGCACACCTCAAATTATAGCTCTTACATACATCCAAACAAACAAACAAACAAACAAAAACTCACTGCCATCAAGTCGATTTGACTCATAGCGACAACTCCTTGGGTTTCCGAGGCAGTATCACTAAAAAAGTAGATTGCCCCATCTTCCTTCTGAGGAGTGGCTGGTGGGTTTGAACAGCCAGCCTTCTGGTTAACAGTCAAATGCCTTACACACTATGCCACCAGAGCTCTTCTTACATTCATAGGCCCTCACAAAGTGAGAAGGAAGATTCAAACAAGGACAGCCCCACAGATGATTCATTCAGCACAGTTTAATGGAACTATGGGACAACATCAATGAGCCAATAT